GCTTTTGTTCAGTTCGTTACAAAACACACTGGCCAAGACACTATTTTACCGAGAAAAAAAAGATATTTACTGATGCAAACTAGGATAGAAACTTATGAATGCTAAAAGGTCTCCGATAAACGACAAGTATTCATAATAATTTGTTAATAAATACAGTAAAACGGGGTATAGAAAGCTTAAAATAACTTCAGTCACCAGATAGCCCATTACTTGTTTACCTTGACTTTAAACGTGTTGATGCTCCAATATCAACTAAGATATCCTGGACCCAAAATGATAGTTTTCTGTAAACCTTCGTGCTCCCTGAAATAATCAGAGATCGACCAGTATGACTTTCATACTATTTCCAACTGTGTGTACGCATTTATGTGTATCTTACAAACAAGTTAGGCTGACAGACAAAAAAGGACCTACCTTAATATACTTGCTTCAATGTCATGAAGAGTTTCAGGAGCGCTCTTTCAAAATATTCATTTGACATATCAAGGACGTAACCTAATATTTTTCCAGGTGATTATTAAAAAACTAATCTTTAGTCTTGTTAAAGTTGCTGAACCCGTAACTACTAAACGCATAAGACCACGTGTTTTCAAAAAAAATGTTTACTGCCTTCGAAAAATACCTCTTATTTCGTTACATCACAGTACTTTTTTCAACTTTTCTTCTTTCGACCACATGATCTTCCAACCTTTTACTTGTTTATAATTATATTTTTTTGCTAAATGAGCTTAACTCATGTTATTCATTACTGCTATTAACCTGTATTCAGTTATTTTACTGTGCAATCACTTAGTGTTTTGTTAGTATCATATTTGATGTTGTAGTCTTCTTTTGAATAATACATTTATTTGCAATGCATGATTCAACCTTTTATTTTATTTGAATTTTTGTTATACCATGATAATTATATAGTCATATTAAGTTCTAACCGACTTCATTTATATAAGTATGTGAATAATTGATTTTACCCAGAGTGTAACCTGTAATACAGTACACAAAAGCTAGCAGAAACCCAGATGTTTGGAATGAATCTTCCTCTAGCTCTCAGTTCAACAACGAAAACTGAAGTCGCTACACGGGAAACTTGATCACAAACTTATAAGATACATAATAAAACAACAATGAGATTTTCCAGAGTCCTAGTCGGACATGTCTATCGTCCGAGCTACATAGAGGTGAGTACGTCGAAAGCGGTCAACTTGAACAGCACGTACGGCTTCGGAAATACCTGAGTAAAACATAGAAGTGAAAGGCAGGATTCGGAAAGTAACCATTTATTGACTTGTGTATGGTAGGTCAAAACAAAATGAATTTCAGAGTTAAATATGGAAATTAACACACAAAAACACAAAAGAAATGAACACATGAGAGAACAGGGATATGTATTAGGTAGTACATCACGAGCGTATTTATAATATCATAGCTAACTTTTGTGAGCAGGCGTTTATTACACAAGTCATTCATATTACTCATCGCAGTTAGCTCTGCTTTGTGGTGTAGTAATGCTACCTGGGTAAGCAAGCCAAAGTAGGTTGTTGAGGCAAAATTTATTTTCCCGACATTTCGTACAGTTTGATATTTATTACGCTAGTCAACGAGTGAAATTCGAGGAGTGACAAATATACACTTTGATACATTTTACATTTACATTCCTAAAATATCTTTCGGAGACGGATGTGACGGAGAATTCTTTTCCGACTGTCAAAAAAATATTTGCTATACAACCCTGAAAGATTTAATTATTCGTCTAGCTAGAAGAGCATCTACATATTGAACAGAGCTGAGGGAGGGTTGATTTAATCAAGGGACTTTGTAATGAAAGTTTTCCTAAAAATCTCTGATATATCACGTAGGTTGATATAATCAATGAACCATGAAACAAGAAACAGTAGTTGAAGTTGCAGAAAAAATAGGCTATTACTGTAAAAAGGTTCTGTCACAAACGTTCTAAAAATTACTTGATCGATATGTTGCCAACTATTGGTACTGGAGAATCAGATGAGTTGAGATATATTCCAACCACTGATGTTATGTGGAAAACCTACTATCTAATGATTCAACAAAAAACGCTTGTTACGAATACTTACGGAAGTAAAGTAGGATCTCTTGATTGATATTTTAAAAAGTAATTAGTATTATCTGGTATGGAACAAAGTTACAATGAATAAAAAAATCCGATTGGAACAATATAAAAATAACAAATTTAAAATAATATATCCAACTAATAGACTTTCATTGGACAACATAACTGTAAGCAATCAGGAAATATCAACAGTGACTTTTACTACATCCGTTTGCTATAAAATCAATGAAACAGGTAAGTGATTTGCAAAGGGAAAAACTAACCATTGATCAGTAGGTAGAAATATTATACTCCCACTCTAATGTTCACCTTATATATATATATATATATATATATAGAGAGAGAGAGAGAGAGAGAGAGATACTGTGTTTACTTCTAAATGAGGATGTAAAAAACATTTTAAATGAAAATAAATTACAAGCTACAATTGTTTAGACAAGAGTTTTTGATAATATCAGTCGACCTTTATACCATTATAATGATTTTTTTATATTGCATAGGAGCTGATGGTTATTAAAACATTCATTATATAAATCTTATGTAATTTGTAATTCAAATTACTTTCAGCTTAGAAGTTCAAGTAATTCTAGGTCACATGTACACGGCAAATAGACATACTTTTCATGTGAAAGCTAGTGGTATTATACACTGGAACATACTGAAGAAAGTTGAGTTGAATTCGAACCTGCAACTGAAGGTTTGAAAAGCATATGTTTTAACTACTACTCTACAACTTGTATTTATTTAGGTTTATGCTACTATTTACGGTTAATTATATGTGTGAATACATTTATTCAAGTAACCTTAACAATGAACAGTTATATACTAAAAATAAACGGTTTTAAGCAAATCTCACTATGAAATTAATCGATTTCATCTTACAGTAATAAATATCAGAGATTTTCTAAGCGTACCAATCAGATTATCCTGAGTTTATCTTAACAGTTGTTTTGCTGAAACTAGTGCAGCCAGAAACATATATGCCCATGAGGAAAGCTACAGTACTTAAGAAACTAACAATAAATGTGTTGGAAGGTACTTACTAAATGGTTAACTGTTGCCTCGAGACGAACACCATAACATACTATTTTCATGAATATCTTTCAACATATTTACTGAAATATTTGGGTTCAAAGAAAAATTATTTGGTCATTTAGACTTTTCAAAGGCGATAGGTTTATGACTCAGCTTTGTATCAATCATACAATACTCACATGATAGGCATCTAGAAATTGTTAAGAACCTTAAACTTCATTAATGGTCAAAATTATACTTAAAGTTTGTCAGCACATTTGGTCAATAAGGATTGATATTATACGAACTTCGACGATTAATTTATCACTGATTTAGAATGAATGGGATAATATAAAACTCTTGATTATGGAAAACACGAACAATTTGCTAAAAGGAATAATGAAAATGGCGAATAACAACAACAAAAATCATCTTTTGTCAATAAGATGTGGATAAGATGAAAAAGCATATTCTTACAGAAAAGCAGTACTAAGACAGCGATTCCATGAGTTGAATGATAATACTTCATTAAAAGTGAATTAAAGTCAAAAACGTATAATGTACACATATACTGATAGTGTATTGTAATATCACTTGTTCATAACCATAGAAATTACGCCTGTGTACATACTATCAACACTTAATAAATATCAGAAAAAATGCTTTATGTTATATATATATACCAAAACTGAAACAAATGAAATTATATTTAAACGTACAACCCGATGGTTGACAATCAACAACAGCTTCATTTAAAGAGGATACATTTTGCAACAAATAGATTATATTTATTTGCATTACGATTCTTTCATAACATTTCTTTTTCTAGACTCATTGTTTTTCTCTTAGGCAGGAAAAATCAGAATGTGAAGAACCTAGTGAGACCTCAACGATAGAGAACCAACTTCTTAAGATTTTTGACACCCAAGTCGTTAAACATCTTTCCATCCTAGTCACAGTTCAAGTAAGCTACGATGGACCAATCAGATATTTGCTGTGGCAGTTCCTGCACACAAGAATAGTTATGAGATTCAGTAGCAAAGAATAGGGCAGAATGAACTACTAATTTTTAACGATGAAATGTTTTATTGACTCACTACCCGGTCGTCCAAAGTGAAGGTGACTGAAAGTCGAACACCTTAGCCACTAAGCCAGCACGCCAGTGAAACGTTAGTGACGCTTAGATTCTTCAACCTATAAGAACCATCAAAATGTAGTGACTTTTCCGACTATGTAGGATAATCGGGACTAGCATGATTTATCACCATAAAGAATGAAAGTGTAAGGAAAAACTACACAAATATTGGTTTTGGTTTTGGAGTTACGCGGTAGGTTTTACAATAACATAAAATAATGAGTAGTATAAATCAAAGACGTCAATTGCTCCTTAAAAAATCCCCGAAAATATTTTAACAAAAATATACTAGTATTTGGCTATGGTGACACATTTTTTCTATTAAACATATATGCAAATATGTGTGGGAAAATAGGACAGACACATCAATGTATTAGATTAAGATGTGAGACTGTAATTTATGGACGACCGTTGGGTGACGCTTGATAGTGTCCACCTACTTGTTAGGGCTAAATGAGGGTTATAAAGCAGTTTGAAGAATAAGGATTATGATTTGCAGTTGATGGTTAGGGATTGGATTTAGGGTTTTTATCACGAACTGACATCAGCTATAATGCCAAGACTCTATTCAGCCAAATGGGTGAATGAATTTCGCGCCAAAATCAAAGACCTGTTATCGTAAGTCTGATTGGTTCGTCCATAAATTATAGTCTCGCCGATTAAGACTACTTGACAGCTTCCCTAAGGTATCATCCCATAGGAAACAAACTTTACATCGCACAAAGCGTTACAACAACTAAAGTTCATTTCAAACAGCTGCATACTTACCAATAAGAGGCGGTCCCAAAATATTGGCGACACCCTGACAAAAAAAACAAATTCCAAGACCATTTGTAAGACGATGGAGTCCAACAAATTCTACCAACAGAACAGTGCACAGAGCATCATTAGCCGCCAGTCCCATACCAAACACGCCTAAATTTGAATGGAAACAAAGCATACTGTTAAGTGTATAGAAAGTGCAGACAGGCGTAAACAGTGTAGAGTCAAATACAAGTGTTTGTCGATTCAAAATGCAGAAACACACAGGAGTACCCAAGGAAAGACACGCTATTGATTGTAATAATACCAATGACAGTGGGAAACTAGAGGGAAGGAAATTATTCAAAAGATGGATCCAATGTAAAGGAACCAAACTAAGTTTAGGACTTGAAGGGAGATAAATCTGACCCATATTACTTAAAGCCTTCAATCATAAATTACAGTTACCCTGTGAATACCACTCACAATGTATGCACCTCCAATGATGACTCAGACAAACAACCAACTACATCATAGCCAACACAATGGCTAGTAATAAGAGTAGCAGCGAAATGCACAGCATACTGTAAACCACTTCAGCTGACGAACATTCAAAACTTTAACTGATTTATCAAACTTATTAAACTTTCTAAGTTTAATATGCACATCTCTTATTTTAAACTTCTACCAAACATGAACAATATTTCAAAAATGATTATGACCAAACATATGTATCCAATTCATATTTGTATTGACTAACAGTAGCCTGAAGTATTCAATACTCGGCAGAAAATGCAAACAACCCAAACGTATTCTAAAATGAAAATCGACAAGAATTTTCAGGCCCTGTTTTCATTTTAGGCAAAACATTTGCTTAATGAGGCCCCTTTACCTTGTTTATAAACCATCTAGTTTGAAAACTACCATTAATAAACCTATCTCTTGAATACCACCGTTAGAATGGAAAGGCATAACTACAAGCGATGGTCACTAGTAGTGTAAGAGCCTAGTTCAAATATTCATCAAGAAAAATTAAGATGAAATACTCGGAATTCAATAATAGATCTGTGAACACCTAAATGAAATCTGCAGGAGCTCTTGTACGATCAGTTAGTTATGTACAACCTGATCCATAAAACAAATCAAATTCAACTAACTAAAAAGCTAGTCAACAAACAGAATGAAAACTTTAATTTAAAATAATTTTCCAACTACTGCATTATATTCAGGGTTGATCCTTGAAGATACTTAATTTAACTTAAAGACGTTTACAAATAGTGGACACATTAATTTCCTCAAAGTCATAGGTTAGAGCTGCTACTTAATTGATATAGTCGCCCCTTATACTATGAGCCTACGCTTTAGATACTGCTGGTATATCAAACAGATATATAATGCTGTCTAAAAATAATGATCTCTTACATTGTATCTTGCATAATGTAAAATGATGACATAAACATTAGGACACTTGATAATACAATTATAATCGGCAACTCAAAGGAATTACTGCTACACACAAATTAACGAACCCGAATGGACGTCGACTAGAAAAGTTATTGGAGTGGATTAAAAATGTACGCTAATATCGTAGTTACAAAACGTTTTTTAAAGTATTTGGAATTAGACAAATAAACTTATTTAGGCCAGTAAATTTTTCTTTATTTGCGCCTTCGTTTGCTAACAAAGATTAAAATCTACAGTAATTAGACGCACTCCAACAGTTAAAATGTGTCATTGGTGTTATTCAAAATATCAACAAATAATTGATACAATTAGTAGATGAGTCAACGAACAAATATTTGGTTAAATAGTTGGACCTGTTTTGTCTCTTTAAAACAATTACATCTGGTAGTAAGTGAGTGTTACACTACAGTTTAATATTAAGTGGAAACAATGGAAAACGAGAAAATACTTACTAGAATAAACTGCCATGGACATAAATGTAGTAAGTAACGGCATCAAACACGTTGATACACCACATGCAAGAATCATGAAGAAATATAGAGTCAGAGAATCGACGCCATCACGATCAGCCAAAAATCCAGCCAAAACCTCACCAACCATGTTAGCACCACCAAGAACAGAAAACAAAAGAGCTGCAAGTGTTTCACTAAGACCATAATTGATAGCACGCACACCCATAAAAAAATATGTTACATTGTACCAGAAGTAGAGTAAGAAATTTGAAACCATAAACAAAACGAAGGTGGGTCTTCTAAACAGTCGCAGATCGAAAAGACGGTGAAAAATATCATGTTTGTCGGCACACATTTCTGTACAACAGTTACAACAATATATTCCCCGATCCTGACATTTTTCACCTTCATCCACCGACTTGAATCCAGACTTTTTATTTGCTAAGCAACTACAGTTGTACCCCAGTGAACACTGAGATGACACACCAGATTCACTAGAAGTGTCTGTTTTGTACACCCTTCTGAGATGATGAAGATCCGGCAGACTTACTGAACTCTGATGTGCAGAGCGATAGTACTCAAGCAAACTAGATGAAGAACCTCGAAGAATTTTATTCTGATTATAACTTTGGGAGGTATTATGTGTAAACTTGAGGGAACTAGTTTCACAGCAATCACCGCGCATATATGTCTGATTGTCTTGACAAAAATGATTTAAAACGCATGCTTCATCCTTCTTAGGACAAACAGTGTCTTCATGGTTATAATGAATAAAGTTCTTGAACGATTTAAGACTTCCGTTAGTATTGTGAATTTCACGTCTATTATTTGCTTCATGGTTTTTATCTTGTACACCACAATCAAAATCTTCAATAGGAAATAAACGCGAGAACGAAACTACATCGGACCTGACTTCCGGACATTGGAGCATGAAGCTACACACTTTCTTGTTCCCTGACACATTTCGAGATTTAAATGTGGATGCACCGTCTTTCCATACATCCTGATCTTGCGTTTGTAGCGCTTTCTTATTTAGTAGTTGTGATTTGGAGTGGATCGAGGGGATTTGAAGGATATCTTTAGATAAATTTGTCTTGTTTTCTAGAACTTTGAAACAACTACTAGATGAAATCAACTTGCTATTAATCTCGTTTGTTGAGTGTAAATAGCTCATTGTAACTCTGCGAGGAGCTAACATATGGTCACGTAGCAACTTTATACGACCAAGCACATCCTTATCCAAGTAGTCTGCACTTTCAAAAGGTGGTAAGCCCGACTCGCGAGCTAGGTGTTCCAACCAAGCAAGACGTTGTCTATGTCGTTTTTCGACGTCAGTTTCAACAGGACGCATCAGAGCACCACACACTATCATATTTAGGAAAAACCCAGATAGTATCATCATAGCCCCTCGCCACGTATAAATATTCAGTAGCATGTCCACCATTGGAGCAAATACAAGTGCACCGACACCTGTACCTGCTATAGACAACCCAGTGGCAGTAGCTCGTCTATTATCAAAGTACATTGAAACAACAACAAGAGCTGATGTTATGCACAAACTTGCACCCAGACCAGATAAAATACCAAACGAAAAGACCAGTGATATAATAGAATTGGTGAAGGCGCCAGCAAAACATCCTAGACCGCTTATCAGCCCACCAACCATGCATGTTACTCGACATCCAAAGCGATTAAGCAGAAACGAAGACAAAGGGGCGGCGAGCGCAGGAATACCATACGAAAATGATCCGATCCACGAAGTGGCACTCATTGAATCTTGGAATTCCTCAACGAGAGATTCAATAAAAACGCCAAACGATACTATTACCCCGTCGGTTATCATGTGTACAAAAAATGTGGCGATTACAACAACCCAACCCCAACCTCCATCTGGAGGTTCTGGTAAGGAAAGTTGACTTGGAGACAATGGAAGTCTCACACTACTGGATTCATCACTTAAATTTGACACAGAGATAGAAGACATTGTTGTCGACGAGCTTGAATCATCGCTGAGAGATGACAAAAAGTAAGGCATATACCTTGCAAACGTAGGAGAAACGAAATTGGATGTTGTCATACTTTTCAGTGATTTAGATGTTGGTAAAGTGGGTTCCGACAGAGTACGTGACGACTTAATCATACCAAATGCCTTCCTTCCCGACTGAAACTTATTTAAGAGACGTGTATCGAAGTCCCTATTCTCAGTACATGGAACTAAGCCGAAAGCCGCCGATGGAAGAGATACTGCTAATTTTTCTAAGCAATCCATTTGAGGAGAAGTTTTAAAGGCGTTCGTCTTTTCTTTATCCATTGTCAGAAATGTTTGATCTTTATCTATATCAAATAAAAGCTAATTTACCAAATATGCCGAAACTTTTATTTGTATCAAATGAATATTGTTAGGTACGGGGGAAAAAATGTCAATACAAACTTGTAAAGAATATGCAAGTCACCCAAGCAGACTAGAAACATATATGACTATCCTTAAAACAGGGTGCCAGTTGAGAATTATTGTTCATAGAATAGACAAAAGTCAGCAAAGCTTGCAGTTCTTCGCATCAAAACTATTGTACCTACACAAGTATTTGAAATATCATACGGTCGGCACAGAAGCGCACACACCAAATTTGCCTCTAATTCAATGAACAATATCTTCCTAGTGAGCTGCTTCAAAAAAATAAATTTCATTGCCTCCGCTTTTTAATGTAACGATACAGCTATGGGTCTTCCTTATCATCCAGTTTAAGAATATAATCACTTAGCTTCGTGAATCCTTGTGAATTTGATGGTGAATTATGTTGAGTATGAATGAGTGCATTTCAATCTTCAGTAATAAGGATAGGAGGTCTATCATCTTAAATTAATCCTTGCAGTTTGTAACACTGTGAAGGTTCAATCTCGTTTTAAATATATCAGCAGAAGGCATTGATATTACGTGTTCCAGTAGAGAATCCCAATGATTCATTACTCGATGCGAGAAACAAAACTCCAGACTTGGACTATTTGATCTCGGTTTTTGAATTTTTTTATTGTTCTCTCAAGTGCCCTGATACGGCCGACAGTGAGGAGAGTCCGCTCACCCTCTCGAAATGCTCTCACATGGCCACGAGTATATAGCCTCTGCCAGGGAAGTCCTACTCATTGCCTTCTCGTGGTGGGGATGTTGGCTACGAAAATAAGAGGACAAAAAGCGAATGTCCGGCGCTCTAACCGGATCCCAAATCAATGGTGCACATGGGCTCCAGTATCCTGAAGGAACAAATGGCGTATGAACCAATCGTTGGTCACCGGCTACCATGGGACTGCATCTCCTCACGATGCTCCACTGCCTTGTGGGTCAGACGTTCAGGTCGAAGGCTCGGAGTGTGGCCCCCTAAGTAAACCACCTGCTTCGGTTTGGGCACCCGGGTAGTATCACAGCCCTCACACAAATCAATTGAGATTCGTGTGGCGCATATGTATTTGGTGCCTCCTTGTAGCAATATCTATGTGTTAAAATAAATAAATAAATAAAAAATAAACGGAAGTTTAGGATTAGAAATGTTATTTCCAAGGTCATCGTTCAGTATACCATAAGTCGATGTTAGATCACCCCGTGTTATACGGTAAGATAACAGAAATGTGTTAATGTGTCTCAGCCAGTCTTCATAATATAGTTCGGATAGACCATTTACCAACTTAGTGCCTCGTCGTTGAACTATTTCTAGCATATCTGCTTCACACTTGAAACAAGTGAAGACCTACAAATAAACCACAAAACCCTATGGCCTTTCGCAGCAGCAGCCTTACAGTGACTAGTGGTTTTGAGATCACTGCTTAATGTGACTCCTAAATCTTTATAGTTTATTACTTTGATTGGCACGAATCCACGTATTGTATAGTGATACGACTCATCGTAGTTATTTAATTGCATCACCACACTGATTAAAATTTACTTCTGGTGACTACCTGTCCTACCATGCAGTCAATGAGCTAAGATCATCCTGTAACACTATTCTATTCGATACACTGTGTATGGGTCTTCAAATTTTGTTTCATCAGCGAAAGGTAGAACGGATGATTTTGCTACAGTTGGTAATTCATTTACATAAAGTAAAAACAGAAGAGGATAGAGGATTTTTCCCTGGGGAACTGCACTTTTTACGGGCACCCACAAGGAGAGAGTCCCATTAAACCTGCAATGGAGAAAGTTACTTATCCAATCTACGACTGCATAATGGATCCCAAAGCGTTCCAGTTTGAATTTTAGACCGGAATGGGAGACCTTATCGAAGGCATTACTTAGATCGATGAAGATCACATCCACAGGAATATTACAATCTTTTGCCGCAGCCCAATCTTCTCTTGCAATGAGAAGATTTGTCAAACATGATAGGCTTCTCCGAAAATCGTGTTGTTACCTGAATAGAAGATTATGTCCGTCAACATAGTTTAGAACAGATATATGAATGATTTTCTCCATCGGTTTTACAACTGAACTAGTTAAGCTGACGTGCCTATAGCAACAAACGAAATTCCAACGCCCTGCCTTATACGACGGACTTATTATCGCGTCTTTCCAGTCTCTGGGCAGTCTGGACTGGTTGCTAGGACAAGTAGCTAATAAGTAATTGGTCAAGAAATTTATTGGATGCAATGTAAAAGGCTATAAAATTAAGATGTAGGGGAACTAATAAAAGGCAAAGGTCAGAAAAGGTAAATCAATAATTCACGTGGGTAGTATGAACAGGCGAGAGTATACGGTTAACAGATAGACGGAAGTGAAAATGGGTGAGGTGAGCGGGAGTGAACTCCAATAATAGTAATAATAATAATAGAAATGGTAATGTATCAACAGTAAATTACGAGACACACTTCAGGTGCTACTGCTTCAAAGGGAGTGTAGTGCGGATGTTTTTATTGGTGTACTCAGGAGTGCATAGCACTAAAGATGGTACAAGTATTCAGAATTTTCCAACACCTTAACTATCAATACCTTTTATAGTCGAAACGTGTCAAACGAGTGAAATCAGAAGTCATAAGCAAAAAGGCTCGAAGATATATTTGATAGAATATCGACATATCGAAGAGTGACTTATCCAAGCTGGCTAGTGGTTGTAGGAGAAGTGGACGGCGGCGTACTCTGGTGAACTGGTGCGGATGCATGACCGATCACCTTCAGCTAAGTGAGCTCATTAAAACTAATGCGGTCAGCATCAAATGTCGAAGACTAACCGATCTATTGATTTTGGAAATTTGTTTACCGCTACAGTATGATTTGCACCATTGTCCAGTCACCTCGTATTCCCCTCCAACGCAGCAAGTACGATGCTAAGTGGTTTATTCACAAATATTATCATTCAGTTTGTTGAACAGCAGCTACAATCACCTCAAGATGTTTATATCCCTTTCAAGAAGAGCAGGTGAAACAATGATGTGGGTTCCTGCTTTTCGTGGATGTAGGTATTGAGCAGCGTCAGGAAGAACTCAGATGTCAGGATGAGCATCTGTCTTTGAACAACGCTAAACGTTCCGCATTCATTAGCCCGATATCTCAAGTGGTTATTGCTCGTGTTCAAGTTTTGATCATCATCAGATATCGATCGCGCGTTGTGGAAGTTCTGGTGAAACGGCACCTGAAGAGGAAGTGGTGGAAGTTGGTCTGTTTTGTAGCTCGCAACAAAATCAGCTAGCATTTCTGGAAACTGAAGATCAAGTAGTCCTTGCGTGTTCCTTGTTTCAGTAGTACTGTTTCTCTTTGGAGATCTTGTCAAATCGCATAACATCAGTGAGCTTGTAGAATCATGATCAACTTCGTTACTACCATTATTACAATAATAGACCTAATCCTAAAATCGTGGATGTCATGATGTAACTGCCTAACATATAAGATCTTACGTGGAACTCACGTCATTGTCTACACCGACTCATCGTTTCGTTACTATCAGAAATATGTTGGACGTTTCTGAAGAACACATTCAGGCTAGAGATTGAACAATGTATTTAATATGAATAGAAGAGGTATGTTACACAAGGATGACCACGCCTGTATGGCTGAGCCGTGCTATTCGATTGGTTCTTGAATGAACGATCCCGCGTTCACTGGTGTTGGCCTTTTCTACGTGTTAGATGTTGAATATCCATTTTTCCAGTTATCTCATGTTCGGCCTTAAAGATTGTGCGATTAGGATCAGTGCCATTACACCACACTCCCACCAGAATCAACGTGAAGTCGATTCGATACTATACCGAGAGGGGTTGTTGTGCACCAGATTAGCTGAAATATAAATAAAAAAGGTGGCAGCGAATGATCGGAAAATACATGTAACAATTCCAAAATTTAATAGTTGAATCAATGAGTCAATTAAAACTAGACCACCACGGAAAACCTGGGGGCACTAAACGATTGTTTCGTCCTATTATGTGACTCTCCAGCACTGCGCATTTAAGATCCTGCTAGCGAGATTCTAACTCAGGACCTGTCGGCCTCCCACGCGAACACTTAACCATTAGACCGCTAAGCTGGCAACCAACCGTGTTAATGTCTAACTTCAACCAATCCACGAAAATGAGCCACCGTCCACCATTTTCTTCACCGAGTTGCTATATCACAACAGACCCGGTTGAAATCCAGTGGTCACCGCTTCTCACCAGAACTTCAGGAAATACCTCTTGAAGACAGTCGCCAGTGAGCATTCAAATTCAACCATTAATTACTGAAATATCCACAAAACACCTTTCTGATTATAATTCCAAAATTCCTGATTTAATTGTTAACACAAAAATGAAGATACGTGTGGTTGTTCAAGCTCTAGACGAAGTGGTGTTATAATAATGGAGAATGATTTGGTGTAGAGATGTCTTAGCAAGTCACACTGAGTTGCGTAGCAATAGCTGTTAGTTAATAGCTTAACTTGTAAGTAGTACAAGTATTTTGTGTATAGAAACATAGATCAATCAATTTCGTATCACTGCTAATTTCGGTATTATTTTTAGAATAAATTAGAAAGTCAGTTAACATCCATATGTATTAGTGGGCTAACTGAAGTAACAAAAGTATTACCAAGGAGAGAAAGAATTCCAACTAATGTCCCCGTTAATTTAGTAAGTTCTGCAATGTCAGAAAAACAGGAATAGGGGGGAATAGCCTTATACTTACGATCATGACTGGAGGTACATCAAGCACACAATCAAGAGTTTATCAATCTTGATGAATCCATATGGTGCTCAGTAAGACTATCTACCACTTCGAGGTGTCTAGTTATAGTCATCTACAGGAAGCCCATTGTTGACATCGACTACAACAATCGTATGCTGGAAAAATTAATCCGCTCTACTCGTCTCATATCCTGATTCTAGGAGCCTTCAGACTTCCTAAAGTAAACTTCGCGTAACATACGTATGTTGAAGGTGAAAACTCTACTGAAGCTCGGTTCTTCAACCCCGTTGAGGATCTGGTGTTATTCGAAAATGTGAAGTTGGCTCATTTGGATTTCTACCTGCACACGATCTTATGTGCTACAATGCAGTCTGTCCTCAAAATCGTCCACATGATCCAAAAGCAACCCATAGTCATCAAGAACCTCACTCTTCGTTTGCTAAACCGCAAAAGCCACTTTTGGGCAAAATACAAACTAACTGGTGACAACGGCACATACAAACAATACAAACACATAAGGAACATATCCACAAAGGCGATAAGAGCAGACATGCTTCAGAACCATATAAAAATTATCGATAAATCTGTCTCCGATTCGAAAAGCACATTCCGTTATGCAACCTCTCTTCCACAAGCCAAAACTGAAATTTCCAAACTGCTAGTACCTAACGGCCCGACCAATAACGACGGTGACGCCGCTAATCTTCTGGCTGAACAGAACTCTCGGACATTTCGACTGACCCGCATTAACTGTATTGATGAAAGCTTTATCTGTAAGTGAACAGAATTTTCCGAAGTGAACCTGAGCGCTGACTTGGTGTACCGGAAACTGCAGCACCTGAAAAAGACACTTGTTCTGATCCGGATATAGTTTATTCTGGTGTTATAAGGGAGGCAACTTCAATCTTGTCAACATCGCATAGCGTAATGTTCTCACATACACACTGAGCCAAGGAAGTTGGCTCAAATCACATCGATTTTCGAAGATGGTCGACGCAGAGAAACTCCAAGCTACCGACCAGTGGCTCTTCTATGTATATCTTCAAAAATTATGGAGTCCCAGATATGGGATGGTACTAACGACTATTTTCGGTCCTTAAACTTCTTTTCACCCCAACAGCACGGTTTCAAGAAGAGTCAACCTTGTATAACCGACCTGCTGACTGCGGTGGACAGATGGACAAGCACCAGTGATCGCGGGGGGAAGGTTGACGTCATTTACCTTGACTTCTCAAAAGCTTTTGATAGGGTCAACCATATATATCTTATCTACAAGCTCAAACGGTTAGACATTCTGCCACCTTTAATAGATTGGTTCACTTCATATCTACAAAATTGACATCCTGAGCCAGGGTTAACTTCGATTTCTCTCAGGCTATGGAATGTACTAGCGGGGTTACCCAGGGTTCGGCACTGTGACCTCTTCTTTTCTTGATCTATATAAACGATCTTCCACAACAGATATCGTTAGACTTATTACATTTTGCTGATAATATGAAACTTTGGAGAGAGATACGCAACCGAGAGGACATACTGGCGATTCTGAAGGATCTGACTAGACTTCAAATTTGGACAGAAGACAACAAACTCACCTTTAGCCCTTCAAAGTATAAATTAGTCCAGCTGAGACATATTGCCGACTATAGCTGCAACTTAAGCGACCCCCTTTACAAGTATCCCAAGTTGAAAAAGTTTTGCGAGTGCTGGTACCCTACGACTTGAAGTCTTACGCCAACTATGGCAAAAATGCCTTGCGCTGGTAACATTGAGGCGCATTTTAGCCAGTTTGACGGAAAAACTTTCCACATAATCTTCAAAAGTTTCATTCGTCCCCATTTAGAGTACGGAAACAGTATATCCTCCCTCACTCCAAAAGGATAAAATCACTCTGGAGCGTATCCAACAACAAGCTACGAAATCAGTTCGGGGGCTCAAATTCAAGCCTTATGAAGAGCGCCTCTAATCACTAAACCCTTACCCACTGGAGTACAGGCATTTTAGATGTGACCTAATGGCATATCGCATCCTTAACACTTCTGGACATCCCCTTAATCACCTACTTCAGTTTAGCTTCAACTCAAACATAATGGGTAGCACCCAAAAACTGGAGACACAACACGGCAGAACGGACTGTAGACACAACTCTTACTCCTTAAGAGTCGTCAAATGCAGGAATTCGCTACCAACTGAGCTAGTTCAGGTGACTTCCCAGGATTTCTTTAGGAGGAAACTTGACCTATTCTTAAAGGTTAAGGACAATATCTTACTGTGACTTACCAATTTCGTTCTCCCCCTTTCATCTTTAATATACCTAGATTCCTGCCTTGAGTTATTAGTGATTCACTGCTACTAGACACGGAGACCGTTAAGCAAAAGCTTCTTCTATTCCGTCCATAACCATTTGGACGATGCCATGCACCGTAAATTCAAAAACACTATTCGCTTCATTTTTGAATCAAAATATAGCTTTTCAAATTTATTCAGGATTAATTTTAACTTTCGTTAGTGAGCAACGCAGAAATAAAAAGTAGCGCGAAAAGTGTCGTTGACCTCGTCACATAGAAATATTAGATATTCGGTTTTGCGGTAAGTTCGTTGAAACGAAGGAGAGGGGAATCTGAACTAATCTGATCCTGGGTTTTACTGTACCAATGGCTATTTCGCATACTTTAGGGACTGACTCACTTGTTAGTCATGCCTTCAATAGAGATGGTACAGAGCTCGCCCTTTCTGTCAATACTAGTGACGTTTACTTATTGAGTGTTCCGGAATCACCCAGTGGAAGGTTTCAGGTTATCGATGTCCTACGGGAACATAGTGCTTTGGTTACAAGTATAGACTGGGCACCACAGACAAACAGGATTGTTTCATGTTCTGCTGATCGTAATGCCTACGTGTGGAATAAGCAGTCAGATAATAAATGGAAGCCAACACTGGTTTTGCTCATGGTACGTTGTATCTAACAAGTTTTGTATACCCGTCAAATTTATTCTCAAGATCGATAGAGCTGCAGTGTGTGTAAAATGGTCTCCATTAGAGGACCGTTTTGCTGTGGGTAGTGGCTCCAAACTTTTGGCAGTGTGTTGGTTTGACGAAGAAAGTGATTGGTGGATCGGCAAAAAGATTAAAAAGCCTATAAGATCTACCGTCACGTGTATTGATTGGCATCCGAATAATGTTCTTCTAGCTTGTGGGTCAAGCGATTTTCACACGAGAATATTCTCAGCCTTCACAAGCTCTGGCCCTTCGGAATCAGTGTGGGGCAAACACACCCCTTTGGGTGCCGTTCTTTTTGACCATTCGGATGGGGAAGGTGAGTTGTTTTTTATTATATTTGAGATATATGTACATTTTTTGGAGTAATTCGCAACTGATGTTGTTGCCTCATTTTAATGCAAAATGCTTGGAAAGTAAATGATAATGATTGAAACACAAGTCATGGACCATTGACCCTGATGTTTACTGGTAAATTTGTAGTCATTATCTTTGGTCCCATTTCAGTCTCGGAGTCACGTGTTATGTGGGACGTTAGTTCGCTTAGTATTACTCAGACAGCTTCGATGCTACAGGCAACTGGATAGACGGGACGTTGCCTCTTGACAATCAGGAGTATCATTTAATAATATGATGGTTTTATGAGTTTTCTAGTCCTTGTAGCAACATGTGAAGACCCTAGTTGCTACCTTGACAAAGTGGTCGGGCTTGCCTACAGAAATGGTGCGACCAAGCAGTGTTGGGACACGTTGTTTTAGGTCCTACCATGCCAAGCAAGCTGGTTAGAGAACAGCGAGACTAACACCAAACTTTGAGAGCGAAGTCACACTATTGGTATAGATAGATGTGACAGTAAGTAGTAAGGTATTCCTCTCAAACAACCATCATCTGCAGTGATGTTGCCCACAAAGGAAGGAATGGGTTAGCAAGGATCAGTCATAAAAATAGTGCACCTCATCTTACCCTACAGTTTTTCACCAACGGGTGTTGAGTATTTTGCGTAGATAGCTGTTAATAAGTACCTGTGCTGTTTGGTAATGGTTTCAGTCTCAGCTCCGTACAGTAGAACTGTCTTGACTTTCGTATTGAAGATTATGACTTTGATGTTGGTTGACAGTTGTTCTGAGTTCCCTAAATTATTCAATTGTAGGAATATTGTATTTGCTTCGCCAATCTGTGCATTTACATCTGCATCAGATCCTCCTCGTTTATTGGTGATGTTGTCCAGGTACGTAAAACTTTCCACCTGTTCCAGAACTTCTCCATCAAGTGTGATTGGGTTGATGCTCACTGTGTTATCCTTCCTGATTTTAATTTTTCCGTTTTGAATATTGAGGTCTACTGCTGTAAGGGTTACTGCTATATTGGCTGTCTCTACCTGCATTTGTTGCTGTGTATGGGATAGAAGAGCTAAGTCATGTGCAAAGTCTAAATCATCTAGTTGCATCCAAGCTGTTCATTGTGTCATATGCTTCCCCTGAGATATGGAGGTCTTCATGATTCGATCAACCACCAAAAGACAAAAGACAAAGGTAAGCAGCCTTGTCTAACAATGGTCTTCACTTGGAGTGCATCTGTGAGCTGATCACCATGCACAACTGCCCAATGGAGTCTGTCGTATGAATTCCATATGATAATGATATTCTCAGGTACACCATAGTGTCAAAAAAGGTTCTATCCATCCTGTCAAATGCTTTCTCGTAATTAAAGAAGTTGATGCAGTGACTACTTCCATTCAGTTGATCGTTCAACAATGATCCGCAGTGTCGCTATTTGGACAGAACATGATCGAACTTTACGAAACTATACATCTTGATTTTGAAGTTAGACATCTACCAAATCTTTTACTCGGTTTAGTATTTGTTGGAAACTTTGCTTGTCGCTGAGAGTAGTCTGTTACTTCTGTAGTTTGCACACTTACTGAGATCTGCTTTCTTCGGTATATTGATGAGTTATCTCTTCCCAGTCTGTTTGTACTTGCCCCTCCTCCCAAATCGACCACATATTCACCATTCGTCAGATTTTAGAGCACAGACATGCTTATGGGCGTCCAACAATGATAGTTTTTCTCGACCAGATAGTGTGAATCGAACATTGAAGTAGGTCCCCCAACTCAAGCTGAAGTTCAAAAGGCTAAAGCTAATCTGAAACGAGGAAGGGCAGCTGGTCCAGATGGATTGGCCCCAGAGGTCTTTAAGGATGGTGGTCTAGTTTTAGCGATTAGGTTGACTAATATTTTAGCTAAAATCTGGGAGTTGGACGTTATTCCATCTAACTGGTCACAATCACTTATCGTCCCAATATTTAAGAAAGGGTCAAAATCATCCTGTGACAACCATAGAGGGATTAGTTTGACTATTACAGTATCTAAAATACTAACTTCGATAATTTTCGGACGCCTAACTAAGACTCGTGAACTGCAAACACGTGAAAATCATGTTGGCTTCAGACCTGGTCGTGGCTGCATCGACCACATATTCACCATTCGTCAGGTTCTAGAACACAGACATGCTTATCGGCGTCCGAAAATAATGGTCTTCCTTGATTTAAAAGCAGCGTTTGACTCTGTTGACCGAGAGGTTCTGTGGCAATGATTCGAAGGTATGCCTCAGAAGTACATAAACCTTGTGAAGGCTCTTTACTCGAACACTACTAGTCGAGTCAGAGCTTATGACAAACTGTCATCTGATTTTGCAACCTCAAATGATGTCCGGCAAGGCTGTCCACTATCTCCATTTTTGTTCAACTTCATCATAGATCTACTGATGGAAATAACGCTCTCATCGACTGAATTCTCGGGCATTGATCTCCTACCAGGAGGTCCACTTATTGACTTAGAATACGCAGATGACATAGTCCTGTTTGGTGAAGACGCTGATGAAATGCAGAGTCTTTTGGTAGCACTGAGCAACAATGCCAGAATGTTTGGGATGTGCTTCTCAGCCTCTTAATGCAAGCTGTTGCTTCAGGACTGGCCTGCGTCAACACCTGAACTAAGAATCAGGAGTGAAGTAGTCGAACGCGTTGACAACTTCACTTATCTTGGAAGTCTGACCAGCCCTAATGGGCTGGTGTCTGACGAAATCTCAGCACGGATTCGAAAAGCTCGCTTGGTATTTGCCAACTTACGTCATCTATGGCGAAGGCGAGATATCCGTCTATCAATTAAGGGACGAGTATACTGCGTTTCAGTTCGTTCCGTTCTACTATACGGCTGCGAAACATGGCCTTTAAGAGTGGAATATATTCGTAAGTTACTAGTATTTGACCACAGGTGCCTTAGAAATATTGCTGGTATCTGCTGGGATCATCGGGTAAGTAATAATGAGGCTGGACACAGGGTATTAGGGAATGATGGTAAATCAGTTGATGAGGTTATGAATCTTCATCGACTGAGATGGTTGGGCCACGTGTTGCGCATGCCTGAACACCGATTACCACGACGCGCAATGCTAACCGGTGTTAGGGATGATTGGAAGAAAGTTAGGGGCGGCCAAACCAAAACGTGGCATCATTGCTTGAAGTCACTAACTTCTGGTCTGAGCCATGTTGGTAGATGCAGACTGCCTGGTTGGGGTCCGCGTGACTATCGTAACCAATGGTTGGAGACTCTTGGTGACATGGCTCAGAATCGATCACAATGGCGTCGGTGTATACACTCTCTGTCTTCCTTTAAACTAAAGAGATTAAAATCACTTCAAATCTTTCTTTCTAGGAACTAATTCTATCTTCTTGTACTATATCCTTATACACACTCTTTCTTCTATATATTATCACCACTGAATTAACTACTTCTATGAACCTGGTGTTCATCTTGTTGTGCTAATGCGGTATGGCAACTTGGACCGTTGCATATATGTGCCTGGTCCTACGTTGCAGCTGACTGACTGACCGAATAACAAATTTTTAACTCTCAAAGACAAAGAAACAGACTATATTTACTCTAACAACGTTTAATTAATTATTAATATTTTTATAGATTCGCGTACATTTATGTCTCTGACCAGGAACTTCAACTTTTAAAATCGACTTTTCTCGATAGCTTCAAGCAGTATATTAGCACAAATGTAACAGGTAAAGGTCTTCTTACAAAAAAACAGAAATCTGCAGCAATGACCTATTAATATCACGCCCAGATAAATGTACAGGTTTAGTGCTGTCAGACCGCAAGTCCTATGTAGACAAAATGATAAACTTATCAGCTGACACCAAGTTTGTCTAATAAATCAATGAAAAGAACAAAACCAAAATGATCGAAAAGTAACTGAATGGAGTTATTAATGACAATGAAAAATGTTCATGTAATGAACGAAGTTATTTATGAATGCATAAAATCATCGGGATCAATAATACCACGACTGTATGGTTTGCCTAAAATACACAAACCTAGCCTACCTCATGGATCAACTCTTGAAATGTTCAGATCCCCTTAACACTCAATGACAAAGTGGTTGACAGATCTGGAACCCGTAAGAAGATGTCTTTGTATTCATTCCCCACATGATAATTTAGTTTTTCTTGAATCTCACTGACTGCTTTGTCTCCTTTATTCTTGAATGTTCACTCTAGTTTACAATATTTTCATACTAGTTTCTTCTTCGTATCATATAGTCGTCTCGTACTTCTTCCTACAGCTTTTTTGTTGTCATTGCTAAATCATGTACGTATTTCCGCTTGTCGGCTCCAATGCTCCTGTTCACTTTCTTATTTGCTTCGTGCATTCACCCTGTGCCTTGGTTCCCTCTATTCTTGTTCTTCCTTTTTAAAAATTGTCTTTGGTATCAAGAGACCTATTGTTTAAGATGGTGCTTCTTGCTGCTCAGAACCTCATGGCATGTTTAGTGTTAGTGCTTCTTTAACCACTTTCTAGTTGTTCTTCATGGTAGCTTTCTTTTCTTTAAGTTGATTTTTGTAAGGCTTGGAGCCTGTTCCTGAGAACTATTTTTAATTCGTTGAGTTTGTCACTATATCAATGAAAGAGTATGAAACTTTTGTAATTGTTTTCCGTTGGTTCTTTAGCTTTACTTTCATATTGGCCGCATCTACGTGGTGGTTTAAAGATATCTCAGCTCCTCTCATGGTTCTCACGTCCTCTGTTGATTTTCTGGATTTGTTATTGATGCAAATATGATCGACCTGCTTCTCTGTAGTGTGGTCCGTTGAGACCCATGTAACTTTATGTATGCATTTGTGGGGGAATTAATGCCTATTATAACCGTTTTGGTGAAGACAAAGAAGTTGGCAAATCTGTCATCGTTCTCGTTCCTTTCTCCCAGTCCGTGTCTTCCCATGATATCTTCATACCCTACTTTGTTCATT